AAGTAGGTTTGTCACTGAATTATATCGAAGTCCTGTAACTACTAATTAAGTAGGTTTGTCACTGAATTAGATCGAAATCCTGTAACTACTAATTAAGAAGGTTTGTCACTGAATTATATCGAAGTCCTGTAACTACTAATTAAGTAGGTATGTCACTGAATTAGATCGAAGTCCTGTAACTACTAATTAAGTAGGTATGTCACTGAATTAGATCGAAGAACTATACTGTACCAAGTAGTGCAACCGTAGAGAGACTCTTCATTGTGTCTTGACGGATTCTCACTTTAAAGTGTATAATGTCTGAGCTCTTTATTATCATGGTCTTTCTACAAACAAACTGAAACACAAACTGCTTTTCTTAGAAATTTAATCAATCACTTTTTTCTAACCATTTGCTTCTAACTCTAATTTGGGTCTGACCATGGATTTAGTTTGTAATCTTTAAGCATTGCTTGAATGAACATTCACTGTAGCCTGAATAAACCTGTTTAAAATTGTGCTTTTGGATTTAGAATAAAGGTTATACAGCAGCTTATCTGTAACTTAAAGAGTGATTGCAAAAGTAGATGGAAATAGTTAACTACAAAAAAGCAGTTAAGTAGTTAAACTAATTTTTTCCGGAAAACATTCAATTAACTTACAGCTACAGAAACTTAGTGTATTAATAATTAAGTTTAATTACAAGAAGTAGTTTGTGTTCATCACAGGTTTTAACTATTTCATTTCTTTTAAAATAATGAGGACCTTTAATTATGAATCTAAAATTCTTATTAACATGATACATTGTTCAAGTTATGTTACACAAGTTAACCAAACAGAAGATGTATTGTTGTTATGCATCAGCATAACATTTATGTAAGTTTATGTCCAGTCCCTTGTTCTAAGAACTTTAATAAATTTATATAAGATAATTATATTATTTCAAATTGCATTTAGGTAATGGAAAAATTGGAATAATAATTGGAATTTTGAATTTAATTATCGCCAAGTTCAGCTGATTCAAAATCTGTTTCCTTTACCATTCCCCAGACCCTGGAAGTCTTAATTAATGCTCATCCCCAGGTCCACTAATTATCACAAGGTTGTCAGTTGTAAGAGGGACATTACATTTCTTCCAAACATACCGTGGAATAATTTACGAGTTTTTAGGTTTATACAACCTAATGGAGAAGCCCACTCATTCTTTTGCACTGTGGAGACATGGGAATATTTAGATAACAAGCTGTTATAGTTTAAAACCAATAGAACATTTCTTAAGTCATTGTCTTTCAAGAAAGTTTAAGAATAATTTAGCCATAACAGGTGCAAGCATTGATCCCACAACTGATAGATAGTGTTTATTCGTTTTTAATGTTTAGTTCTATTAGCGTCCCCGGTAGCTTAAAGGTAAGTTGAATTTTAAGCTATAACGATAAAATTCAGGGTTCGACCTCTGCAGTGGGCAAAGTATAGATAGCGCATTATACTGTTCCTATGATACGTCAACTGCTAAATTTATGTTTCGAAAGTAATTTTGCCATGTAGCAAAGAATAACTGCTTACAATCTTGTAACGCTATCCACTATAATTTTTACAGTCTTGTAACGCTATCCACTATAATTATTACAGTCTTGTAACGCTATCCACTATAATTTTTACAGTCTTGTAACGCTATCCACTATAATTAATACAGTCTTGTAACGCTATCCACTACAATTATTACAGTCTTGTAACGCTATCCACTATAATTATTACAGTCTTTTAACACTATCCACTATAATTATTACAGTCTTCTAACACTATCCACTATAATTTTTACAGTCTTGTAACGCTATCCACTATAATTAATACAGTTTTGTAACGCTATCCACTATAATTATTACAGTCTTGTAACGCTATCCACTATAATTATTACAGTCTTGTAACGCTATCTACTACAATTATTACAGTCTTGTAACGATATCCACTATAATTATTACAGTCTTGTAACGCTATCTACTACAATTATTACAGTCTTGTAACGCTATCTACTATAACTTTTAAAGTCTTGTAACACTATTCACTATAACTTTTACTTAATGAATTTGAAAGATGAAGCCTAAACTGAATCCAAATTTCAATTAGATAGCAACTGCCTGTTGTAGAAACCTACAAATGTAAAGGACGACGTTTCAAACAAAGAAAAAGAAATCAACATGAAACCCAGTTTTGTTTAATTTGATAATAAACATCTTATGAAACCATTTTGTCTTTATTAACTACAAGAGGCGCTCTGATTTCTTTATTTCTCTTGTAGATCACTGCTTAGTTTAATAAATTTTCTGCTACCTTCTAACATATGGTTAATCTTAATAATATAATCATTTTTCTTTAAAATTATTATTTCATTTTCTTTGTTATCATTTAATCAGCATGTTTTCGAAGATCAGTAAGAGCTACCTATTTTTCTTGAAATTCATTATATGTTTTTTTTTTAAATTATAATTGTATAGCAAGTTCTAACTCTATAAAAAGTCTAATCAGTGTAAAGAAATATAACCAATCCTGTAAATATCACAATCAATATTCAAAGAAAGACAAATCAAAATCAAACTTAGTATTTTTGCTACAAGTTCAAAAGATAAACCGTGCGCTAAAGTTGCTGCTTTTTCCAAGATCATTAAGTTGACAAGAAGACAAGTTAGTGACAGCTTAGTCTGGATAGTTCATGAACGAATGTCTCTGTTGGACAAAACGAAAACAATTTAGTACATGAAGCTGATTCGTTCAATATTGTTATGAAAATTATTACAAATATTATTAATCAGCTTATTCAAGTAAATGAAATCTAACTTAGTAACTGAATCTTCCAAAGCAATTGGGACCTGGCATGACCTGGTCGTTAGGACATTCGACTCACAATCTGCTGGTCGCGGGATCGCGACCCGACCCCGAACATACTTTCTCTTTCGGTCGTAGGGACAGTATAATGTGAGGAATAATCCCACTATTCTTTGGTAAAGAGAAGCCCAAGAGTTGGCGATGGGCGGTGTTGACTAGCTGCCTTCCTTCTAGTTTATCACTTCAAAATTTTGGACGGATAGCGCAGATAGTCTTCGAGTAGCTTTGCGCGAAATTCAAACAAAAAAGCATCAAAGCAATTAAGGATTTCCTTAACTGTAAA